TTCCAACTAATAAAGAGGAAGATGTCCATCTTTATTTTGTAATAGAAGATCTCTCTAAAATTCCTGCATGGGAAAGAAGAGCCTTTCAAACTGTTTTCCAAGATGTGCTACTTCCCACTTCCAAATGAAAGTTGTGTGCTGGTTAAGAGACCATAAAAAGGTGGGGGGGAAGAGGGGTGGGGAGGGAAGGACAGAGAGAGAAGAAAGACTCTGTTAATCTTATAAGGCCCATTCTGCTCCTCTTCTCGTCTGCACACTGACTGGTCCAGAGGGTCAGCTAGAGAAATGGTGGAAAAGAAGAGCTAAGACAGATAATCTGTCTCTCCTAGGACATAGCAAATAGAGCGTAAATATTACTAACAGCTTTTGCAAAGTGTTCTTGACCCCAGCAAAAGTGAAGGTTTCAAGTGCCACCTGGACACTGGAAGACCTTTTTGCCACGTGAAGATTGTCTCCATGTTGGCTTATTGTTTAAATAGAGGCCTGTCAAAGCCCAGTCCAGAGTGTTATTTTCATCTCTTCAGTTGTCCTGAGATCAATTCCTAGCATTGACACGCATTTTCACATTCATGCTATCATAATTCCTCTTGACAAGTCTCCTGTGTCTCAGGTCATTTCCTTGGTGGCCATATTTAAGCTGTTCCATGTATTTTTCATTGTATCATCTTTGCTTCCATCAAGATTGCTTGTTCTAACACACTGCAGAAGAAGGTTGAGGAGCTTTCTGTTCTCTGTATCTGGCCAAAATGGCCCAAAGTATGTTATTCAGCATTGGGGCTTGCCTCTTCTTTTTGTCCCTAGTAGTTGTCCCTCAGCATTTGCTTTCTCTGTGTTCTATTTGAAGTCTGTTTAGAGCTCCCCTGGTGTTTCATCAGTGGCAGAATGTCTGATGTCAGGAGTAAATTTCCCCTCCTGTTCCCACCCCACTTTCTCTCTCCTGCCCTGTTGTGCATTTTTTCTGTCACACACTGTGTGCATGGGATGGAAGGATGCCAAAGACATTAGAGTATGGTCTTGTGCCTTTTCCTCTAGGTAGTCCCTTCCTTATCAGATTCCTGTTTCCTGATGCTGTTCAATGACTTACTTCTAGGGTAAGTCTGTTAACAATATTATTTTATCAATAAACCTTACCAGAATGGTATATCCTATCCCTTCTGTACCCCAACTTGTTTGCTGCTTGGTAGTTTTGCTGGATTCTGCATGCATTATCTTACTCTGGGAAGCATGAAATGTCATTAACTTTGTATATGCTCGCACAACTACAAATGCTGTTACTGATAAAAGAATTATCTAGCCCTTTCTGGCAATTGTGGTCACAATATTTGAGTCTTGTAATCACCCATCACAGAATTTATCAATGTACTTCAGTTGTGTGTAGTTAAACATACTGCACAATACTTGCTAATTGTTCCCCTTGTTCTTAGGAAGAGAATAAAGAGATGGGCAGATTGGCTTTCATACTGACCTCTAGGGCTGTGAATGTCATTCACATCCCATGTAGTAATTCCTCCCAGGCTAGATAATCCTGTGCACAATCTCCTTCTGTACAATATGTCAGTACTGGAATACCTCTGACCATGTGTGTTGTCCTTCTCTAGGCCTTGTAATCTCTTACTATATCTTATTTGGGTTAAGGCAACGAAATTTGGATATGGCGCTCCATTGTCAAAGGTTGTGGTGGTGTATCAATTCACATGTTGCTGAACAATCGCGAAGAAGAAAAGATAGCCCCTTTTCTACTCTGACAATTGTGCTGCTCAGGGAAGGAATTCCTTTTCAGTTTATATCTGGGGATTTGAAATTTCTCTCGAAGCATTTGAAACTACTTGAGACTCTCCTCTATATTCCCTAGAATGCTCTCTGTTTTCAGGACACAATGATGTTGCCAGATAGATATTGAAGTACTAAAGAGAATTCAAGCATTCATTTAGTAAAATAGCAAAATGAGGGAGAAACAGTGAAGAAATTTGTGCTTCTCTTGTTTGCTTTCAAGTTCAAAATATACATGGCATAGCTTGAGCAAATTACCCTATAAGAGAGTGTATATGCCTGTGTGTATGGCTGGGGCTCTGTGGTAGTATTCTGCAGCATCCTTCACTACATAAAAAACACCAGGGGAAGGGGAATTTTGGGAGGTTCTCTTACAACTTCTAATTGTAAAAGGGAAATGAGGCAGCATCTTTTGAGAGGAAACATCCAGTGAAATTTTTAGACTGTTGATCCATTTTCCCAGGGAAGGAATGTCAGTGTTGTCACACTTGAGTAACTAAATAGCAAGCAGCATATATTAAATAATTATATGATGAAAGAGGAATGAAGAAGACTTTTTCTGCTTTCACTCTCCAAGATTAATACCAAAGGGAGAGGGAAATGGAAGCTGTGAGAATAAATGGCAGTGAGAACATTTTTACAGTATGTTCATCTTGTGTAGAAAATGAGATTGGGAGAATAAAGTGTCAGAAAGAGCTATTTTATTGATAGAATTCTAGCTACCCTTGGTGGTATCGTTCCATGCGGTTTAGTCCCAAATCAGTGAAATTATTTGGGATTTTGGGGAGAACATGAGTGACAATAGAATTTGTTCTGGGACCTGAGGTTAAAGTGTACATTTTTAGAGTCAACATACATTTTAGCAACAATCGAGTAGCGTATTGCTCCTCAGTAGAATTATAAATAATGTAAAAACAGAGAACAAACTGCAAAACTGGAGGAGCACTGGAGAGGAGGAAAATAAAAGTTGACTGAAACATAAACTGTGGCAGCTCTCTTTGGTATGGGATGCCACCTTGTGGAAGTCTTTAGTATGTCGTTTCTTTCATTTTGAAATCATTTTCAAGTCTTCCTGACTACTTCATTCTCTTTAGTCAGTGCAGATAAACCTGTTTGCGTAGATCAGCCTTGGCGTTTAATATTCCCACCATCATCTGATTTCATTATTTAACCTTCAAGGTTACTTATCTAAATTTAGGTATGGACAAATCTTACTTTGGCAAGTAAAAAGTCTGGTAAAAAGTCTTTCCTTAGCTTGCTTTTTACATGTTGTCCACTGGGCCTGTAAAATCAGTCATGGTGATATGGTGATCGGTACAGATACTGTAGTATAACTTTAGTATTGCACTAATGCATGTGGTCAGAAAGCTCTGAAAGGAATTGTAATCAGTGTGCACTTTGGCATGTTGACCCAATCGCTGCAGCAGCTGAAAAGGAATTATCCCCACATACAGACCACAGTTATCTTCAGCAAGGCATTGGCCTTACAGAAGGAAAGAGCAAATGTGGATGTGCCTGCTGCCTCAGCTGACATACCTCTTCATTTCTCATTTTAAAGAATTCTTCTCCCAGGTGTTCAGATGCCTAGTATTCAAGTCGAGTTGTAACTCCATAGTGTATTCTCTTGGTCTGTCTTAGGACAGCACAGGTGTGTTGCTAACCTCTGAAATTTTTTGCAAATGTCAAGTGTGAAACACTTCTTCCCTGCTAGAGGCACTGCAAAAAGGTATGGGTGCTGTAGGTGGCTAGTCTTTTGCCCACGAGCAACTGAAGCAATGCTGTCTCCTGTATTGAAATGGATTTTTTTCCTTTTTCTTTTCTTTTCTCGGGGGGGAAAAAGATGTTAGTAAGGGTTTCTTTCTTTCTGATACTATCCTCATCTCATTGTAGTGTTGGATTCTGAGGTCTGACTCTTTATTGGCTGATCTTCCTTTGATCCCATGTGCTCGTTTTACTTCTCCTTCCTCTGTAAGCCTTTTGCCTTCATCTTTCTTTTAACACCCTCGTGTTTATCTGCAATGACCTATTGCTTTTGTGCTGATGAGTCCAGAATTCACTGCCCGCTTCCAAAACACTTGAGCTAGGGGAGTGATTTCTGAGCCTAATAGGGTATGAAAATTCAAGCAACAAGTCTGTGAATAACCTTCTAAGTCTGAATTCAGCTTCTGTAGGAAAGTTTCAGTGAATAATTTCTTTCTTGGGTAAGGGTGATAGAAACTTCTTTGGAAACATTTAGTCTTCTCCACGGGCTGTCACAAAGTCGTCGATTGAAGCACCATCAGCTATTGGCAATATATGGCCCTGGCAGCTTAGAAATGCCTCTGGTAATTAAAACCTTAAATGTATCCTGTGTGGTGAGAGTTGCCTCTAATCTCATAACCCATCGAGCTCCCAGCCTGAACAACTGCCTGCAGTTCTCGTCTAACAGTTGAAGCAGCTGGGCCACAGAAAGGATTCCTGAGGGAGCTTGAGACACCAAAACTGCAGCAGTTCAAGCATAAAGTAGATGAAACTTAAAGCAGAAGTGATAGGATGACTGATTTTGTAAACTGCGGGTAGTTTAAACCTCTGACAATGTCCACAGCAGCAGCAGAATGTGATCAGGGATCTTGTGCTTTGCTCCCCCCTGCTCTCCACTACTCCAAGTTCACATTGGCCATGCTGACATACCATGAAAGGAAATGAGGAATCACTTAAAGACTATTACTTGGAGAGATGGATTTGGGGGAAAGAAATGAGGATCCCATAGCCCTGTCCTGCAACATGCATGTGTTATGTTCTGTTTCATAGGGAAAGTAGTTGTCTGACTTTTCCCTGCTGTACACACTTGTGTTGCAGCTGCATCTGGCTCTGATACAGGAAATGTGTGTTGTGACATCTCTCCACACCCAACAAAGCAAAGCTCCTCAACTTGCTCAGTGAAGTTATTGTGTGTTCAGCATTGGAAGCAGAGGTTCTTCCAAGCCTCCTTACAAGGACATTGAAAATTTCCCCTGTGATTTTCACACATGTTTAGGAGCTTCAGACAGTGGGTGGTGTTTGTTTGTTTGTTTGTTTGTTTTTGGTTTGGTTTGGGTTTTTTCCCCTCTAGGTTGTCTGCTAATGGTTAGGTGCAAGGGGGCCTTGAAATAACCACCAATGCAATGTAGTTCGTCCTCATGTCTTTTTCTCTCTGCCTATGCATCCCTCTGTACGCTGCACTACTGGTGTGCTTGATGTTGGTTGTCATGGGCTTGGTTAAGAATACATGCAGGACATTCTTTACTCTGCCTCCCCTGGGAATTCTAAGAGACTCTTACATGACACCCGCTCCTTATCACACTTCTTCACCACACTGGTGAATCTCACTAGATGCAAAGCACTTTCAAAAGCCCCAGGCAAACTAGAAAGGGGGTTCGGAAGGGGCAGAAGGGTCACAGAGGAAGTGGAAGAAAGTAACCATGCATATGATTATAAAAGCTTAAGCCAGACTCACACATAAGGTGAATATGAATGCAAGAAAATACTATTTTAGTTTTTCTTTCATGGCCTACAAAGCAGCACAACCAAAAGGAGCCAATTGTACCCTAAACTATCTGCCTTCCTGATGAAAGTACCTCAGGGGGAAGTGGGGTTATTTGCCCAAAAGGTTAAGTCTGTGCCTCTTCATCATGCTAGATTAGTGTTCATCACAAGGCAGGACTGAACCCTCTTTTAGTGGAGGTACTGGCCTCTGACCTCGAGTTTGCAGTTTGAGTAGAACTTTTAAGTTTGTACAGGGCAGATGTTATAATGGGGTAGAGCCAGTATGGTGAGTCTGCTAGATGTCAGGAACTTTTGTTCCTCTTGCTCCTTGTGGGTGTTGATGGGTGAGTCCCAGCAGCTTTAGATCCCCTTCCTAGTAAAGGTGATAGGAATTTCACCTCTGACCTGGATTTGGCAGGAAACTGTAAATGCTGTTGATAGTAGCTCATAGGTTTAATTAAAGCGCAACTAACTCCTACTTCTGATTTCACTGCACACTAGCCATAGATCAGGTGTGAGGCTGCGTAACAGCCATTTTGAGCAAGTACTAAAAGACAGCGAGCTTTCAGGCCCTCTGTAGCGCAATACTGTTGGCCGTTGTTCTAAAGACCTGCTCTGTGACGAGGGTAGGGAAGCTTATTTCCTTAACCTAAGATGATATTGTTAAGAGTAAGACGCTAAGTTAAGTTAATTTTATGCTTTATTAGCAGCTTTGCATTTCCTTCAGATTCTCTCACTGACAGTAGCAGAAGTTGAGCTCCCTATAGATAAATATGTAGAAATGTGATTTCTGCCACACTGAAGACAGGCAAACAACAGTAATGCTATGAGGACTGATCCTAAAACCCAGCCAGGCTACTGGCTGGGCAGTGGGCCATAGGGCAAATATTTATTGGAGTGATAATATTGTTTGTAGTTACCTCCAAAACTTCCTTGGCTGTCGTAGGCTGAGAAACTATGGGGCTGGATGCTCTGAGACATGGTATGCAACTGCACAAATATGTGCTATGGGACATTCCTTCCAATACTGTTTTTTCCTTCTTACAGAAAAGCCACATTGGGTTGTGCTAGTGGGAGATCAGTGGGTAACTCTAGATTTGCTTACTGAATCTTTAAAAACAGAGTTCTACCATTCAGTGGCTTTTGAATAGGTTATGAGTATAGGTTACTTGCTCAAATCTAGTTAAGAACATTTAGTTTCACTTTGTTTCAGCACCAACTCAGTGAGAGCATTACTGTGTAAGAGTCAGCTGAGAATTTGCCTGACAAATTCTCTCCTCTCAGAGTGGAGGGAAGGAGCCAGTGCCATTTTTTTTAACACTGAAGCCTTTCTTTTGTTTATCTCTTTGCAGTTATGTGGCTGTGGGCTGCTAGGCGTGGGAATCTGGCTGTCAGTGTCACAAGGAAACTTCGCCACATTTTCTCCCAGCTTTCCGTCACTTTCAGCAGCCAACCTAGTCATTGCCATTGGCACAGTCATCATGGTGACCGGATTTCTGGGCTGTCTGGGTGCTATCAAGGAAAACAAGTGCCTCCTTTTGAGTGTAAGACATCAATACTCCTTTTCACTAAGACTAGTGATCTTTGCTTTGTGAATATTTTATTTAAATAACCAATGCCAAATAGTCCTGTGGATCACTGTATTATTGCTCCTGGCTTTCAACGTTCTGAGTCCTGCAGTAGGACATCCCACAGCTTTATATTAATATCACTGCATATTTGCAAATGTATTCTTGTTACTGTGTACCATGGTGTATTAGATAGCAAAGCAAATTGTGATTAGGTAACTCTGAACAGTTAAACATGAACTGTAGGACGACGTTGATGGTCTTTCTGGAAATGTCTCTTGGAAGGATTGTCTGAAAAATCTCAAGCACAGCTGCTTTTGGATGCCACTCATAGCCACTCATAGCTGTTCTCAACTTTGCCCTTATCTAAGGCCTGTGTCAGAAGTTATTGGGAGCCATCTGACTCAAAGTTAAGAAGTTAGAGTCTCTGCCAGGCCTTATAGGTATAAAAAAAACCCCTGAGCCCTGGCAGCCTTTATCCAACAGTGAAGCACAGAAGTGGGAAGCCCTCTCAAAAAACACACAGTGGGTCACTGCTCTCACATCAGCTCAGGAGATGTTGTCCTTAGGCGGAGATGGGTATTGTGGAAGAGGGTGAGAGCAGGGCTTTCAAAGCAGCCAGGTTCCAATTCAGTCAGAGCTTGTGAGTCACAGCTACTGTGACATTGAAGATCATGTGAGTTTTCCTTGTGTTGAAGGCTCCCTTAGGTGGTGGTGGGGAACAGCTGGGCAGCATTCCTTAGACTACCTCAGAGAATTAAAATGGGGCAGAAATGTGCCCCTGTTGTTCACCAGCTGAAACTTTTTCTAAGAGTGTGTTTATATTCTTACAAGGTTCTGCAGAAGTCTTTTTATATAAAAAATCATGGGTTTCTAACTGGAGAGCTTGCTGCTCCCCATACCTCATCTCCCTCAGTACCTCTGTGGGGGATGCCATGCCTATGCAGCATACTATTAACATAAAGATCTCTAGTGGGCATGAAAAGTAGTGAGAAACTGCTGGAGCTCAGGCTTGGGCTGCCCCTTCAGAGAGGTATTTCAGCTACAGAGAGTCGGGGACAGAAGTGCAGAGTAATAAAATGATTATGCAAGCAGGCAGTCAGATGTGGTTAAAGGCTACTTGTTTGGAAATCGTTCCTGTGCCAGGTCACATTGATCATTGTGGTAATGGGCTTAGCCTCTGTTCTATAGGCTGTATGCAGGCTACTATGGCTGCATGCTATGACAGCGGTCAAAACAAGCAAAATACAATCATCACTGAAACCTGAAAATTGATAGTAGGGCAAAACCTAAGATTTAAAGAATACTATCAGTGAGCTTCCTCAGTAATGGAGAGCCCTACAGGGGGAGCTATAGGGGCAATATTGTATTAATATGCCTGAATAGTTTGACATCAGACTTGCATATTTTGGGCAACAGAGGAAGGGTTTGGAGGACAAGGCCTGTAGTCTTCAGATTTTTCATGAACAGTAAGGGGCTCAGAAAACCCCACAGTGTTGAGTGTCATTTGCTGTATTTTATGTATGGCACTGTCAAAAATGTTCAGGGACTTCTGTAGGACACTGGAAAAGTACAGTGCCCAAACATATAGAGGATGTATGTAAAGAAAGAAAGATGCTCAGTGAGATATAATGAAAGACACTTCCCATGTAAAGAGTTTGGATAAGGTAAAAGGTGAAAGAGGCCATCTTGGTGAACCAGGGTTTCTAGAGGAAGTCTGTGGAAACTACATGGGATAGCTCTTAACTGCTTCTGGTGTCCATTAGTGTGGCTATTCCACAATAGGATTTAAGGGATTTAAATCTATGCGATTTAAGGTCAGATTGTCATGACCCCTGTCTGTCATCTGGAAACCCCAGGGCTGCTCTTATTTGGCAAGTGTGTACACACAGTCTGTTTTTCTTTGTTCTAGTTCTTCATTGTTTTGCTGATAATTCTCCTGGCAGAGCTGATATTACTCATTTTGTTCTTCATTTATATGGACAAGGTAAGCAAATACACCATATAGATTGATTATCAGTTCTAGCAGGTAAACCATGTTCTATTTGCTTTTGATTGATGAAAGTATGTGGGTTCTCCTTGCTCTTCATTTTGAAGGTTTAACCTTGAGATCTTGACTGTTTTATGTAAGCTCTTTCTGCAGGGGGAGGGGAGAAGCGAGGAGAAGGACAAACAGGAGGAAAGAAAAGAACCTGCTGAGCTTTGCAATTTCTTCCCCAAAACAAAACTCCTGGTCCAGGGCCTCCTTTTTAGTGTTCTCCTAAAAGCTAAGATACCCTTATAGCTGTTTGATGTCTCTGCAAGAAGCTCAGCATCTTTTGGACCTGGGTCATGGGAGAGGGGCCACATCTTGCCTTGTTAGCCTCTTAGGGTCAACCATCCCCTTCAACAGGACTGGAGGAATGAGACCTGCGATTTTCACAGATATTTCCAGATGCACTCCTGCCAACAGGTGACTCACTTGACCAGGCTGTCCCAGACAGTTTGACAGAGGGTTGGGGGGCAGATCAAGAAGCAGCTTGGCTAGCCTGCTGTCTAGTAGAGATTAACAAAAGTGAGCATAACTGGCTGGTCTAGCAGATAGGTATGACTGGAAAAATCCTCAGAGAACTGGAGAGCTCTGCTATACACAGGACAGAGCCTTAAGGGATGGGCATATCCAGCCTGATTTTAAAGCGAAGCTCCTATCAGATTCGTATCTCTTTCCAGGTTGTCTTTATGATGCCTGTCTCTTTCAGGGAGCTAGGGTGAACTTCTCATTTTGAATGGGATATGAAAGAGGGATGAAACAGGTCCTTTGAAATAGTTGACCTCAGCGGCCAGGACCTATAGGTTAATTCTTGCTCCACTGCCAGCTCACTGTTGAGTTGCAGGCTGTTTTTTAGCCTTTTTCCAGAGCCTCCTTGGATTTGGCTGTCAGGGCCAAGGTGCTGTTCTCTTTGCATCCAGGATTGCAGGCCCAGACTGAAGTTGATACAAGAAATGGGACATATCAGATTCTGTGTCAAGCATTCCAGCTTTCTTCTCTGAAGAAAGAAGGACAAGTTTGCAAAATCTTAAAGCCCACAAGCCTGTCCTCACAAGGAAAACAATAATAATGTCCTTTTTCAATTGGTTTTGTATTGATCATTGATTATAGCCTACTAGAACATGTGCAGGGGACAATTACCTTATAACTGGGAGGTTGGGACTTTGGTTTTATGATCTTAGCAAGTGAAAGTAGTGTTACAGTCAGGAAAGGCTGCTGTGGAATATTGCCAACAGCCCTCTCTTTGACAAAATTAACGTAAGCTCAGCAAGATTCTGCTGATCAGTCTTCAGTTAGTTTGGATCAAATGATGACTATATGATGGACTCTTAGTAGAGGGGAAGCTGTTTGCTCTCCTTCCTCATGAGAATTAATCCAGGATTTTGCAAGGTGAGGGAGAGACTAAGTCTTGGCAGATGCTGAAAGTCCCATTGCCATGCGAAAGCTATGAGGGAACTTTCGTACCCATGCCAAGTGTCTGGTGATAGAAGGTGGTAAGGGAGATGTGTTCTGTACACAGGTCTGTACCATTGCGTCCTTTCCTCAAAATAGTGGTGCATTGACTTGCTGTATTCTTAATGTGATGCAGGTCAGTGAGAGCGCAAAGAAGGATTTGAAGGAAGGTATGAAGCTGTACAATTCAGAAAATAATGTTGGACTGAAAAATGCATGGAATATCATTCAAGCAGAGGTAACATTTTCTCAATGGAAAAAATAACAATTTGGCCATAACAGGCTGTCTCATTCTTTTAAATGTGGCAACCAAGCCCTGTCTAAAAGATAGTTAGTGCAGCGTTTGATTTCTGGTTTTAAACTCTAGAATATCCAGGCAGTACTCTGAAACCCAGGAACAAAGTGTATGTGTAAGGTGAAAGAGGCTCACCTCTCTTAGATTCTCTGCATCTATCACCTGAAAGGATGATCTGAGAGAGATGAAAAACAGCAAAACCTGCATAGGTGGTAGGTCAGAACTGCAGCTTGAATCCTAGCTAGGCTTTGGCAGGTCAGCAGTTGTGGGTAGATTGGGCTCATGTCTTTATGACAAGAACAACTAACACACCTTGGGTGTGGGACTATTTGGGTTTCATTTGTTTGTTTTTAAGTATCTGCTTTTAGTGAGTGCTGGGCACAAAGTACTTAAAAATGCAAAAGCGTTGTGGCAGCCCTGTTGAAAATATACCATGGTTTAGTCAAAATAAAAGTTTATGATGGTATTCATTTTTCAGTGGTGCTAATTAATAAGTTCATTTATTGACCCTTTATTTTTGCCATAGATGAAATGCTGTGGTGTGAATGACTTTACGGATTGGTACCCAGTACTGGGAGAAAACACTGTCCCAGACCGATGTTGTACAGAAAACTCCCAAGATTGTGGACGGAACTCCACTGAATTAGTGTGGAAAACAGTAAGGCTCACTTTGCTCAAGTTGTAGGCTTTGGGAGGAGTGGGAAGGAAGAAAAGAAAAGGGGAGCATTTGAAAGAAATGTAACCTTGGGAATTCTGTTTTCATCTTTCAGGGCTGTTATGAGAAAGTTATGATTTGGTTCGATGAGAATAAGCATGTCCTTGGCTCCATTGGGATGTGCATCCTCATAATGCAGGTAATTCTAGTATGATATGTGTCAACATGGCCTTAATTTGTTACTGTCAGCATTGTTTTTTCTGCTGTGTGAAAACTGATCCTCAACCACTCTGAGTTTGGTCATGTTTTCAAAAATGTCAGATTTGTTTTACTAGTGCATTTGAAGTCATCTACTCAGAAAGCAAGTAGGTCAGCTGTCAGTCCCTCAGAGAAGACATGCTGCAATGGGGTTTTGCTTATGTGCATTCTGACTTCAGAGCACCACCTTGGAGTTTTCAGATTTAGCCATTTGTTACCTTGTCCCTTATGGAAGTGTTCTTTTTTAGTTTTGGAAGGCAGTTCTGGAAATTGCCAAAATGAGTTAAATCATGGTCACTGAACTGAGTAGGTGAATGTTTCTTTGGAAAAAAAAAGCCAAAGGATCATCATCATTTGTTAAGGTTTTTTGCCTCCTGCATAACTACGGTACTTTTGGGGGAGAGGGCTAGATCGCCGTATTTTCAGTCACAGTTACCTGGCTGATGAAGCAGAAGCCCTTGAGTAAAAGGAAGAGTGATTAGCATGTGTCAATTCTGAAAAATTGTTGCATGTGTGGCAAAGAGCCTTGAGAGCTCTTTGTCTCCATCTGTGCTCTTTACAGATACATCTTCAGATATCGCTGCATGCTTGAACAACATACACCCAAGTTTACTGGTCAGTGTTGAAGCTCTGGGTTTAAGAAATGTGACTAGGGTAGAAAGACTTTTAGAACTCCAGTTGGACTGTGAACACAGATCAGCAGTGCAGTCTGGCAGTCTCCCTGTACTGAAACCTTCACTGTTTGCTTTTCTTCAGATACTTGGCATGGCCTTTTCCATGACACTCTTCCAGCAGATTCACAGGACTGGCAAAAAATATGATGCCTAAAGCCTCTGAAACATTAATCACATCAGCCCTTCTGTCTCACCATAAAAATGAACAAATGGAATGACCACAAAGAGTATTGAGCCTGGCCCTGCTGAGAGAATCCGTCCTATTGACCGATCGACTTCGTCGTTACTTGTCTGATTATTATCACAACTTGTGACTCTTTTTTTTTGTCTGTTTCACATTTGCCATTTATTTGCCAAAGAGAGTGGGAGGGGAACCCAGACAAATGGGTTTCTATACTAAGTCATAGATCTGCTATTAGAATGTTTCCTTAACTTTATTTAAGAAAATGTTTTGCTGTACTAATCCATACTATATGCGCTAAAATGATGTGTGTTCAACTTTAAGGGAGAATTCTTCAAAGTCTTCTGTTAAATTTTCAACCTTCATGTCCAGCTTACTGGAAGACTTGGAAAAGCCACTCAGACTGAGAGTTCTAGGAACTGGAGCTGCTTGGTTTGCAGCTTCTTGTATCTTATGGTGTATACTTTTTTATTATGATAATGATTATTATTATGATGATGGACATAGCTTAGAATTTAGTTGCTTGATTTATATCTTTTTATTGTTTCTGTTTTTACATATTGTACATTAATTTGGGAACCACTGTGTGATCTCCAGAGGACGTGTATTTCAAAGTTGGTAGTTGGTGGGGGCAAATAAAGATAGAACTTTTCTCAAGTCCATGAAAAGGCATCTTCCACCTTTGTCAGGGCCTTAATGCCTTTACTGTACCAAAGGTGGTCCTTTCAAATCAGAGGCCCTTTTCATCAGATAGAATGCAGTGCCCTCCCATTGGGCCAGATGGAGAGACTCCTACTCCCATGAGGCTAAGTTCTAATGCTTTTACCCACCCAAAGCAATCTCTGGCTCTGTAATTGCTGCCCCTCACTGAGTGCTTTGATGTCACTCTTCTTCAAAGGCTAAAAATATTGACTGAGCAAGTGGTTGCTCCCTGGCATAAAGGAGAGATTTGCAATCTGACCTGCTGGGCAGTTGGCAGTGGACTTTACAAGCTGTGTTGTCAATTTCCAAAACATCATGCAAGGCATGATATGCTACTGGGTATGAGAAAGGGGGGTGGCAATTTGTTGGTGCCTGTGTCATGCTATGCCCTTCATTGAAAACGGTTTCCTCAGACAGATGACAGCTGTCTCCCTGAGCCGACAAAGTGGCTTTGGGCAGTGAGGAAGGTAAGGTTGATTAAAGGTGAGCAGATGTTTCAAGAGAGGGGTGATTTCTGGAAGCAGCACTTGGAGTCAATATTCATTTTCACACCTCCAGGGCAGAATTGGTTCTTGCTGGCAGGTTGCCAAGTCCATCCAGTATGGTAGTTCAGAGATGCATATTTCTACCAACATTCCAATATATATTTTTTTAGTTTGAATGCTGCTTCACCCTAAGCAGCCCCCATTTACCTTTTGGTTCCAGGTTTTTGCAGAGATCTTTCATAAGTTTTGTTGCTTTGTGAAGGAAGGATCATGCATTGGAGGATGCCCAGTCAGGGCTCAACTCAGGTCTCAAAGGAACACCATGCTTTTTGCATTAGTAGCAGTCAGAAGGGACCTTCAGAGGTTACTTCATCTGACATCATTCTCAAAGTGGGACTGTGACCCAGGCGAGATGGGGGTTGACTGTGACATAGTGGGACTGAATCTCAGAAACTGCTGAGGATGGCAATTTTGTGCCTCTGTGGTATCCCTTTCAGTGCCATGCTATGTCAAACTAATCTTCTGGTAAAGTTTTTCCTAATGTCCAGGCTGAATATTTTTATTTTAAATTCATAAAATATGTTGTTTTTAATGTATCATTCAGCCATTCTTTTGCTGGTGGGCTGAATTAGCTTTTGGGCCAGTCCCTGTCTGGGAGGTGTTAGCTCCCTGTTTATCTTCCAGCAGGTCCTGCATACATCTATACATCTCACAGCAATAATGTTTTGTGTGGACTGTATGCCATTTTCAAGTTCCTATGAGATCAGTGTAACAGGAAGGAGTATGGGAGATGGAGATGAATTTGGGTGTTTCAGTGAAGAAGGAGGTTATTATTCTTAAGAGCATGGCCTTTGTGCATCTGAGCATGGTGTCCAAAGTTTCTCAGGCCTCTTGTTTCCAACAGAAGCAGACAACACCATATGGGCTCAGCTATTTCATTTGTATTGCCTTTGAAAGAGTCAGGAGAGGAGTGGGAGAAAGCACAGAAACTGAATCTAGATTTACTTCCATTTCTAAAAAAAATTGGGACCAGAAGCATCTGAGCCCCACTGGAGATGGATGTTCCATGTTGAAGAAGGGGCTCTGATGCCCAACATACTTGCTGCTACATGTGAGACTATTCAAAATTGCTAAGATGCGTTCCCATTTTTGCAAGACAGAATGATTTTCATTTGATGGATCCACTGGTCCCTCCCTTTGGACAGAGGTGCTTAGGTTTTTTTGGAAAGAGGTGCTTAGGTTTCTCTATCTTTCTCTGGGGTGCAGAAAGAGCAGAATTGACCAGAAGCATTCATTTCTGTCCTTTTGGGTCGCACAGTGGTACCTGCCGCATCTTAAAGTTTAATCTGCAGTCAGTTTTTGTACAAAAATGGTAAAACATATTAGTGAAATAATAAGGAAATAAAACACGTTTATGAATAACTCAAGAGATGAAATGTGTAGTTGCAAACTCAGCTATTTTGCTTCCCATCCAAACTTTTCTAGAATGCTTCATTCCGTTTCACTGTCTGATAGCAGCATAGATCCTGAAATCCTTTTTTCAGCGACTACTTTTGGCATTTTAAGCACAGTGTTAAGTGAGATAGTTACACAAGCTTCATTTATGCATCTCTATGAAGTCACCTACAGGAAGAGAGTCAAGAGCAGGGCTGATTGTGTCTCTAGCTGACTCACTGATATGAGGAGGGGGAGATGACAGGCATCCCCTGCTGAAGGGAGTAGAAAAGTGATGCCATTCTCCAGGCAACAAAAAACAGCCTCAGAAAGTGTAAGACTGAAATAGTCAGCCTGTCAGAGAAGGCACTAACTGCCCTGTAACTGCTTGATCAAAGGGAGCTCTGTCTCATATATGTATGCACTTTTTTTTGCTTATGCTGGTGGCTGGCTGGCTGTTTTCCCCACGCGTCACTAGTTATTTAACTATAAGTTTTTAGCATGTTTTTAAATAAAAACTGATACTGAGTAAAAGTATTTTTAGTGTACCCAAATATTGATTTTTATCTGTATAAATGCGTACCTCTGTATCTCTAACTTTTGACAGCACAGTTCAGTGTGTGCAAGTGCTGTTTCTCTGAGCGTTACTTTAGACTGTAGTATACCTGCTGTCTCATTACTGAGAGAACTGAGCCAAAAGAAAAAAGGATAGGAAGGGTGGCTGTGGAAGTACTGGGCATAGAGCACCTCTGCTCGAAGGCTGCAGGAGCAATCATTCCATTGCCTCCTGGTAGTGCTAGGGTAGTTGTAGAAAGCCCAGATGAAGGGCATTTAAAAGAACACACACTCTACCCGTGGCTAAATGGCACAGAATATGATAAGAACAATGGCATAATGTCTCCAGGGTGACAGGAGATGTGTTATGTGTTGCATTGAGTTCCTGGCTTATGCTCACATTAGGCCAACCTCCCTGCTTCCAAACTCACCCATAGGAAGGGTGCAGGTAGAGGACAGCAGAACTAATCCCCATGGTCTTTCTTGGGCAGTGTGTTGGGAAGACATAGAAAAGGCAGGGAGGAAAAAGGTGTTTTCCTAGTGGAGAGTCCTTGGGAGGCAGACAGGAGCAGAATGGAATAGGCCATGCTTATAATCCTGATGTAATTTCTTTCCAAAAAGTTGAGCAGCTTCATTCTGTAGGTCGCATGTGGAAATATGGAGATGTTTGGCTTTGTGGTGGCCATCTGTTGTGCAGTAGATAACAGACGCTAAGAGATGACATGCCATTCCCACCAGGTAGCATTTGCACCAGTGTTTCTTCTAAAATTCTACCTACTATAGCCTTTATATGAAAGATTTTTATTAGGATGATATAATAATAAAGGATTTTTTTTTAAAAGGTGCATCTTTGATCTCATTTTTCCCCTACTGTCAACTATCTCAATACAAAAAGGAGGCAAGAAAACAAAAAGATGACTTCTAGAGATCCATTTCTACCTGAATTTCTCTATGGTGCTACAACAGGTGTTTGAAAAGGTGGGTAAATATTGAGCCCTTCAGGGGCTTAGAGGGAGTTGAAACAAAGGAGGAGGGTTGGATAGAAGTTTGGGCGATGGATGGGTAGCGGCTGAAAGGAAGAGGGCTGGGGCTGGAGAGGATGTGCATTGAGGGGGAAAGGGCAGGAGAGGTAAAGACAGAGGGAGAGGACTAGATTTTGAAGCTGTGTAGGGATAGAGGGTGAGAATGAGTTAAAGCATACAAGTGCTAAGTGGATGGGAGCTGGCAGGTATGACTTTTTTTGTCTTGCAGTTAAAAGGTTGAGAGGGAGAAGAGCTGGACAGTAGGTGGATTGAGTGGAAGAGGACTGGAGCTGGTGGTTGTACAGTGGACTAAAGTTGGGGAAGGGATGTGAGGTGAAAGGGAGAGAACTGGAGTTGGACAGTCTGAGTTGAGGCGCAGAAGATAAGCTGGATATTATGTGGGTTGAGGAGAAGACTGGTGGTGGAGCATATCTGCTTTGAGTGATTAGAACTGGAGGATGTTTGTCAGGAGAATGAAGACGAGCTGGAGCAAGAGGAACTGCATCTGGAGGAACGTGAGTTGAGAGGATTGGAACTGGAGGGTATGTGCAGTGAGAATGAGAAGACGAACTGGATGGAAAGAGGAAGAGGACTGAAAATGGAGGTCATATGTGCTGAAAGGAGGAAGACTGGAGCTTGAAAGAGAAGGTGGGGTCTGTATTGGGGTGAGGATGGGAGCTGAGAGATCAGAAGACAGAGATGCCTAAGAGAGGGAGAGAGGATTGGAGCTGGAAGGTGTGTGCACTGAGGGAGAGAGGGACAAGAGGTACAGAATAATGTGAGATAAGAGGGAGAAGATTAAAGCAAGAGGATGTCTGTGTTGAGGGAGATCCCTAACTCTCCGGAGACAACAGTCTTTGGAGAAAAATTCTCTTTGCAGCCCGCGCTTTCTTTGGCAGCCCCTTCCCAGTCCCACTTCAACTGCAGCGCTTCACTTTCCCTTTCAGTCAACCCTAATTCAAAAATCTAAGCTGATTTACAGTCCAAACGCCTCAGTCTGTGAATAGACTCAGTGCTGCTCATAAGTGAGTTCTAGCATTGGCCTGCAGTCCCTCACTAGCCCCTGCTGCAAATGTAGCACTGCATATTCTGTCAGCCCTTAAGTGTTTTATGGGGCAGAGATTCTGCTCTCCTGATAGTCAGTCTTCCTCGGAACAGAATCCTATTTGCAGCTCTCACTCTTCTTTGCCAGTCCTTTCCCAGACCCACCCCAACTATAGCTCTGTGCTTTCTATTTCTACAACCTGAACCATAACCTGTAGGCCCTGGTGGAGACCTCACTCATGCTAAAACTTGGTTTTCCTCAGACAGCAATTCTATTTGTAGCCAGTGCTTTCCTTTGGCAGCCCCTTTCCAGCTACACTGCAAATGTTAGGTTGTGCTTTCTTTTATTCTCAACTCTATCCTAACTCCTGTATTCCTCAGAGGAGAATTCCTTTGCAGCACTCACTTTCCTTTGGCAGGCTGTTTCCAGCCCCCTCCAAGTTTAACGCTGCACTGTTGGTTAACTCAAACCACAGTTCAGAGTTTAGGTTGACCCATAGACAAAGTACCCTACTCCCTTTTTATTCATTATTTTTATTTTATTACTGAGAAAATAATTCTTTCTGCAGCCCTCAGGTTTCTTTGGCAGTCCTTTTCCAGCCACGCTCCAACTGAAGTGCTGTACTTTATCTTTCTCTTAGCCCTAACCCTACAGTCAGTCCTATGACCCCACTCCCTCCAGAGACTCCATACTCTTCAGAACAGAAATTTTGACATTTCTTCATTTTTTTTGCAACCCTGCTCCAAGTGTATCACTGCAATTTCTCTTTCTCCACTGTAGCCTTAAGCCTAACTCTAACCTGAGGTTGATGCACGGACCTGAGACCTCACTACCTGGCAAAACTCAGTGTCCCTCAGAGGAAAATTCTTTTGCAGCCTTAAATTTCCTTTGGCAGTCCCTTTCAAGCCCTCCTCCCTCCAACTATTGTGCTATGCTTTCTCTCAAATGGAACCCTATTTCTAGCCTAAATCATATGGCAAGGGTCCCCACTCCAACTACAAGCTCCTTAGTCCTCAGAGGATAATTCTTGCAGCCCTTGCTTTTGTTTGCACCTTTCCAGCATGACTTCAAGTGTGGCTTTACACTCTCTT